TTAAAAAAAAAAAAAAAAAAAAACTTCATCTCCATGAGTCCATGTAATAATGCAAGCGTACCTGTCCCATTAAATGGACTCACAGAGTCTTACACATCTAAGATAACATGAGGGTGAGTTAATATTGAGAGAATTTTTGGGTGGAGTATCCCTTTAACATACATGTGGCTTCTTAATGGAGAAACCTTATACCAGGGGTGCCCAAACTCAGTCCTGGAGGGCCGGTGTCCTGCAGCGTTTAGCTCCAACTTGCCTCAACACACCTGCCGGGAAGTTTCTAGCATGCCTAGTAAGAGCTTGATTAGCTGGTTCAGGTGTGTTTGATTAGGGTTGAAGCTAAACTCTGCAGGACACCGGCCCTCCATGACCGAGTTTGGGCACCCCTGCCTTATACACTGTGACCATCAACACATTTTCTCCGGTGACATTCAATAAATAACAATTTCATAATTTAATTACCCTCATGATTTCAAATTGATTTGTCTTGAAAAACAGAATAAAAAAATATATGTCCTTTGAAAGCCACTGGTTCTAACATGCAGTGTGACCAAATGTCAACTATGTCATATGGACTGCTTTTGATACTTTAATGGTGGGATTTTGTGTCATTTTGGAACTTGACAGGCCCAGTCCTCATTCACTTTCATTAAATGAAAAAGAGCAGAAAGAATATTCTTTACAATAAACCTTTTGTGTTACACAGAAGAAAGTCACAGGGGTTTAGAACAACATATTTGTAAATAAATCTGTTCTTTTCTGGGTGAACTGTGCCTTTAAGAGCAGGACTCGTGCTTTACCTGCCAGGGGTAGAACAGAGGCGTCTGATCCAGCGGCACTCTAAGAGGAGCTACAATCACCAGCTCGAACAGCAGTCCCAAGAGCAGAGGGATCACTCCAGCCAACAGCACAGCCACAATCAGTGTCTTCATAATCTGAATTCACACAAATCACCAACACGGCACATTAATGGAAAAAGAGAGGAATAGACAAAGTAGACACTGATTTCCTTTGTATGCATGCAGTCAATAGTTTTAAAGCCATGTATGTTGCAGTAAAATAACCTCAAACTCCTATTTTAAAACTACTTTGTCCATTCCTCTTTTTCCATTCCTTTCATTTTTGAAGAAAATTTTAAGCCACAATGAAACCACTGCATTCAGTACCATGAGGGTCCACTCCTGAGCCTTGAGCAGGATGACTCTCCGCCCCTGAGGCATCCAGGCCAGCAGCACTGTGATCGCTCTGATGGAGAGCCAGCACACATACAGCCCACACGCTGCAGTGTACAGCTCATGGATCTTAGCACTGCCCGTCCAGAAGGACATCAGCCAGCGTCCAGTGAACACTGTGATAAACACAAATAAAGAATTCAGAGCACTGCTGGAAATCTGTGAGATGCTCTCTCTCTCTCTGAAAGCATAAAAGAAAATATTTAATAACAGCTAATTATAATATTTTTAAAAGTTATAGTCCCTTATGATCACCAAGGCTGCATTTATTTTAACAAAAATAAACGGTAATATGAATTCTGATACTATTCCATGGAGCATAAAAGGAGAAGTTTCGGCAACACTTTATTTTACAGTGACCTTGTTACAAATTACATGCATTTAATATAGCAATACCAGTAAATTATGGATAATTACATGCAACTAACCCTAAACCAAACCCTAATCCTAACCCTATAGAAAGTTCATGTTGCAGTGCTGGTCGCTGTCAACATGCAATTACAAGGAACAGGGACTGAATATTCAAACTTTAAAAACCGCTTTAAAACACCATTAAAATGTCATTAAAAAGGTCCTTAAGACTAATGTGCTTTAAGTCTTGTAAAGTCATATGATAGCTTTGTGTGATGAACACTGAAATTTTATTCACCGACCACTTATAGTACTTCTGAATCCTTTTTGAATCTCATCATTGTAATTAAATTAAAAAAAGTGCAACTAGTACAATTCTTTACATTTCCATTTGTGTTCCATTGAAGAAAATAAGTCACATGGGTTTGGAAAAATAAGAGGGTGAGCAAATGATAAGACATCCCAATTTGTTGGACTCTCACCTGGTAACGTGAGACACACCAAACTGGCCAAAAGCAGCGTCACGCACATGAACAAAACCAGCAACACAATCTACAGGTGGCCAAAAGAGGAAAATAAATATTAAAGATCCTTCATCTGAAAATCAGATTCACAAAATCAAAACATTCACTGAAGTATAAAAGTATACAGGACAGAGTACCCTTAGAGGGAATTTCATGGGCCGGTGATAGGGCTGAAAGCCCACTGGGCCCCCCTGCTGCAGTATGGCCTGGTGGGCAGCGTGCAGTCCTTCTCCCACCACAGGAATGGCGTTGTTTCGGGCCTGCTGGTTGTTGTTGTTGTTGGCTTGCTGGTTGGCATTGTTCTCATTGTCTTCCTGGTCTCCCAGCAAGTAAGAGTGCAAGTCTCTGAAAGGTGTGGCACAAAGTAGCATTGATTGAGATTATCATTACACATTCAAGATTCAAGAAAGAGATTAAAGAAAGGTGAACTAAGCCCTCCAAGTAAAATCAAGGTGTATGCACAATGTACATTTTCTCAGGAGAAAGCTTAACTGATTTTAACAGGAGCATTTGTGAAAGTGGAGAACTCTGCAAGCTGAACTGCACGGCTCAAACACTTGCATGAACTCCGAAGTGACATCATTCATTGATTATAATGGAATGAGAGCATAAAAATACTACATCAAATAAATGTTAACCTAAGATCTATTAAATCAAAACTAATAATTTGCGATTATAACATCAACGGAAATATTCTACAATTATGATTTGTCATGATCGTGCTACCCTAACACAAAGTTAAATTCCAGTGATAGATTTTTTTTTTAGGACAACACAGAGAGAACCAGGAAAAGTCGTTTCAGTACACGAGGTTAACAGACGTAATGAGCAACAGGGTAAATGTGTATATAAGACTCACAGCAAGTAGCCAGCGGTCACGGTCCACGCTCGCACCAGACCTTTGAGCCACTGCCGCGTATGTCCCTGTTCCAATAGAGCAGGAAGAACAACCTGCAACAATAGCAACTCCAGAGATAGCTCACTCACTGGAGCGTCGCTGAAAGAGAGAGAGAGGGAGAGGAAGTCATTACATTTGTATATAAACTACTGGTATCACTGTTCTCACTTAGCGAACAGAGCTGTTCAGGCATGACATCAATTTGTAGGTCACCCATAACGCTAAACCTCCACGGATTCCCTATGGAATTGGTTTTTAGAATAAAATAGCCTGGGCTATCTTACCAGATCTGAAGCATTTTTCCTGCCCTTTAGGACCTCTTTAAACAACAATTTCACACCATGACTCCCATTCCATTCTTAAATACTAAAAGGAACGTTTCAAAATAAAGCCAACACTACTGCCCCTTTTGTTAACAATTTATGCTTTTAAAGCACGATTTCAAAATAACCGTGTCATTTATGTTTTAGAACAAAATATGAAAGTTTCTTCAAATAATGCTTAACCACAGACTTTAAGGCCTGTTCATAACAATAACTATTAGCGTCACATCAATGAACGATAACATTCTATTTACTTTAAGAGCACACTGGCGTTATGACGTTTTCTGTTTTAAATGCTCAAGCTCTTTAAAGGGGTCCTATTATGCTTTTTCAACTTTAGTTACTCTGTAATGTTGCTGTTTGAGCATAAAAAAAGATCTGCAAAGTTACAAAGTTCAAAGTCACTTTCAAAAGGAGATATTTTATTTAACGGAAATCACTTTTCAAAAACTACAATGAACGACTCGTTTGGACTACAACGCATATTTTCCGGGATTTGTGATATCACAAATATCGACGAATGGGACGAGACCTGGTTGAGCTGCACTAGAGAAGGCAACAAGTGTTATCACTATGTCGGAGACGCGCTAGCTTTCCCAAGGCAGACGAACTTAGAGTGGCTACAATCATCCGGGTTTAAATCGCGCTCAAATTGATTTGATTTTGACGCAATATTTACACTGAAGCTCGCAGGCGGCTATGGTAAGGGGCATGACATTTCCCGACCAGGCGCCAAGTGGTGCCAATCACAACACACACTGGCCCAGCCAACCAATCACAGCACATTTCGTATTTCAGAAGGTGGGCCTTCATTTGATACAGGAACTATTCGAGCCGTTCATGCCAGACTGGGGAGAGAGGTGTTGTAATTATGTAAAATATGTGAAAAATAATCAGTTTTTCGAACAACCTAGTATGAGAGCCTGTTCTAGTACACCCCCAAAACAAAATCAAGACTTTGTAAAAGAGCATAATAGGACCCCTTTAAAGTTAGTCAATTTTGATAGACTGTCAATGTTTTTACCATTTATCAGCTGGAAAAAAATCTGAAATTTATTCCAACTATATTGTACATTATAATGATAGCTGTGGTGTGGACTTCCCCACTCCTCAAAATGATTATTAAAACTTTGAAGTTACAATTATCGATATAGTTATTGTCCTTGGTATGAACAGCCCTTTATTCTACTCATAAATTGAAAACCAATGTTCTAAAAACTCATATATTTCAGAGTTAACCTGAGGTGAACAATTAGTGAACCAGAAGAGAACAGGACATTGTAATGTTGAAGCTAAAAATCAGCATTAAAGGGAGAGTTTACCAATAAATGAACATTCTGACATAATTTACTCACCCTCATGTCCAAAGCTGTATGACTATGACTACAGAAGATATTTTGAAGAATATCTATTAGTTTTTTTGTCTATACAGTGTTGTTTTGAACCCCAATGGCTTTCATTGTTTGGACAAAACAGCTAAAATGCTTTTTTTCCCCAGAATATCTTTATCTTTTGTGTTCCACAGAAGAAAGTCATATGGGTTTGGAAGTTCAAACATCAGCTTGCTCAGTCATTCATACCATATTTAAAAGCCCCCAACATGTGAAGGATGGCCTCTTTCCACAGAAGTCAGAGTCGGTGCCCTAACAAACACTACAGCTGTTCAAAGTACTCTCATAGTGACGAATGTAAAGCTCAACACTGCTGAGAAGACAGCAGGGTAACATAGGGTAAAATACACAAACACAAAGAGAGATGACTTTCTATGGCATTATTGTTGTGGACACTATATTAATAGTTCTCTGCAAGATCAGACTGTAGTAATGCACTGCTGGGAATGACGACATCAGGTGTAACACACCTGCCAAATGATGCAACAAGCCCACCTGACACTACAGAGAGTCCTGACACTCATTAGGTAACGAAGCAAAGGTCTGCCATGACAGCAGTAATCAGCACTTCACATTTATGGCCCTTTTAAACAAAGTCACACAGAGAAAGAACTTTGCTTCTTCTGGCTGTAATCTCTGGCTGGATTTATACAGTAAAACAAGCAAAAGCATCAAATGACACTTGTCCTCAAGCTCTGAATCTTTACACAAAGTTTAGGCAATTATCACAAAGAACATTAATCGTTTATGATGAGATGGAAATACATTTTATTTACCTGTAAAGCATCACATTGTAGGGAAGAAATGAAGGGAAGATGTGTTTGATTATCCGGATAGGAAGCCACAACATGAGAAGAACGATTGAGCCAAACACAACCTGAAAAGAGAGAAAAACCTGTTCATTTAAGAACACAGAAAACAGAAGAGAAAGGAGCACCTTAGGGGACATGGAGATGGAACAAAATTTGAGATATGAATATGAGGAAAAACATTTCAGAGCTTTTGCACTCTCTCACATAAGTATCACTTTCTCCTGAGAAACACTGCGTTTGCTCACAAAACATTTGCATACTCTCACGAAAGTATTGCGTTCCCCTGAGAAACTTGAACACTGAAATATAGTTTTTCCTCCCACCTTATATTATTTCCATCACAAAAGTTTTGCGAGTCAGTGCAAAGGTTTCTAGGAGGAAAACTATTATTTTGTAAGAGAATGCAAAAGCATTGAATAATTTTTCCTCCCATCTAATTTTTTACTGTGAAATTTAAGTGGATCCTTTGAAAAGGGTCTCAAAAAGAGATGAACATTTACTCACCACTGATAGTATGAATCGTCTCAAGTGTCTATATATTGGTAGGTGTATCATTTCTTGCACTGGGTTGAAATCTGGATCGTTCAGATTTCTGAGAAACCACAAGACTCCAGGCCTTAGAACCTGAGAGATACAAGGACAGCACTCTAAACATCTCCTGAAAAATCTCCTGCATGATTAAACTGATATAGAAATGCCCACCTCTCTGAGTAGAAGAATGAAAGAGGCGAAATAGAAGACGTAGACCATCCCCACCAGCCAGTGAAGGAACATAGTGGTCCCTGGGGCTGATTCAAAACTCAACTCTCTGTCTTTCAATGAGGCATCAAACATTTCCTACAAAACACAGAGATAAAAAAAAAAAAGTTGACCTTTACTGTATGACAAATACTAAGGTTAAGGTTGCTAAACTAAACTTACTAAGGCTTTAAATTTGCACTCACTTTGTTCTTCATTATAAAAATGAAGAAATGAAGCAGAGCAGCTGTCATTGAGATGAATGGGAATGTTAACCAATGCTAGCTTTCTCCAAATATTAGACCTTTTTGGGCCAACATGACCAAAAATGAGTGAGCATACCTTAATTTAGTTTGATAAAATTAAACTAAATACCAGAGAGCAGATATCAAGCCACCAGCCGCAGATGAGGGGGAACACACCAATCTCTACAACTACTAGAAGAGACACCTAGAAGAAACAAAAGATAATAATTTAATATGAGCCTCAATAAAAGACATACATGACAGATACTAAAAGAGTTGCAAATATAAAACATAGTAGCATAAATAAGTGTATCAGGCCCAGGCCTGTAATCTAAACTTAGATGTACCTAATTATAGCATTAGCGTGACTCAGAACATAGAATTACAGTAAATCCCAAAAATCGTTTGCAAAACCAGTTGTTGCAACCAATGTTACCAATGTTATCAAGTCATTGTTTTTGCCATTTCTAATTACTTAACAAGATTAGCAAACCTGGCTTTATAGAACAGCACATTTAAACTGTTGATGTAACTGACCTTTACGACAATGTAGCAGACTCCTAACAAGCGGCGTGATCTCTGAAATCTCACCAGTGCTGCTAATCCCTGAGATCTGAATTAAGGAAAGGAACATCAGAGGCTATATTACAGAAACCTCCCATCTTAAGTCAACAGAGTTAACATATGAGAAGTTCTATGTTATAAACAAGACCCTAACTGAAATTGTTATGGCTATTAAATAGATATGGCTCTAACTTAAGGTGCGGTCACATAAATGAAATTTCAGCAAAATGTTGTGGGCAAAAAATTGGGCAAAATTGTCAATACTGTCACGATAAATGAGGCACAGCTCACACAGAAGTCACTTTCAAACCAAGCAACTTTCCGTTGGCTGACACTGTGAATACACACGACCAACATGAACCATATTGAGTGGATTCCTACTGAAACTGAATTTGGCCCGTAAAAAAACAAACCCTGAACAAGGGTAAACAGCACCTTTAGGAGTGTTTTTGTAATACTGCCCTAGAAGACAACATAAACTTACACTGAATGACTTGGAGGTGGATGTGTGGCAATTTCACACAAAAAAAAAAAGATGCTAGTCATATTTGGTGTGTAACTTCCTGGAAGACTTGGTAAACCAGAGAAGGTAGTTAGTTAAGCCGGGCGTACACGGTCCAAGTTCGGACAACAAAGTGTAGACGTGATATAAAAAGAGAGATTTATTGTGCAGTGTAGAGAGCTTCATTGATTATAGCGGAATGATTTCTGAGCTCGTACAACAGCAAAAATCGCACCAGCCTTAGATGGTGATTATTTCAGATGTTATTGAGTGTTTAAGGATACATGACACACAATGAGTGTGATGGCCAAAAGGACATATCCAACTATAGTGGTGATGAGTCCCTCAAAGTGTGAGGCACGAACCTGAAAACAGATGAGAAACAGTTGTCAATGTTGAAACCGCATTTACATCATTTTTTTTTTTTTTTAAATCAAGCTAGATAAAAAGGTCTAAAACTGATCTGATACTTACATATTCTTCAAAACCAAGTCCAACCACTGAGAAGTGGCCAATATGGTAGGGACAGAAAGCTAAGATGATATGATTTCAAGAGTTGAAGTTTGTAATTGGAGAACATAGTCAGTGTTTTCATATTGGGTTACTTAACATGAATGCATTAATGTTATAATTTCGTAAAAAACAAATAAACAAATCTGCAGTGATGCTTACCAAACACCAAGATGAAGAGTGTGTTGAGTGAGACCACCCAGAACACATGCTCCTAAAGCAAAAAAAAAACATGAATTATTGGTTCTTTTGAAAAGGATTTTTTTTTTTGAGAAATAAAATATTTGTGTCACTCACCAGAAAAACCAGGGACCCATCAAGCCCAAGCATCTGAACGAAGGGGGGAGAACAGGTTTAATGTTTTTCTGAAAGATTTTGGTATGATATATGATACAGTGACATACAGCACATAGTCTCACCCTTTCCCAAGTGAGCTCTTCAGCTGCACGATCCCATTCCAGAGCATTCCAGTTCATATCATCTGCACAACATAAAAAATTTTGCAGCCCAACAGCTTTTTGCACCAGTCACCATTTATACCCACTGAAATGTTTCTCATTTGTTTAATTAAAGCCGTCATACCCTGTGCTCCATTGTTGGCATCCGCCACATCTTCGGCTCCTCCATCCTCCTCATCTTCATTATCCAGCTCCATCTCTTCCGCAGGGTCAGCGGGGAGGTCAGGAGCTTCAGCCGCTGCAGCGTTTTCTGCTTGAGGTTCGGCCGGTGCGGGCATGGGCTGGTTTTCAGCACCCCCATTACCCTGGCCAGCGGCCTAATGGATAGGATATTAATAATGAAGAAAATGTTCTACTAACTGGAATCAACTATGGTAGAGTATGTACATTTGTCAAGTAGTAGTAAACTGCATCTGGTTCAAACCAAGAAAAAAAACAAGCAGCTATTTTGGTAAGAGTGCAGTCTCCAGATTCAGGAGATAATGAGGAATTTGAAGATGACAGAAGGTCAGGCAGGCTACTGTGTTGTGCTCAAATCAAAATGATCATTACAGTAAGCATGAAGCAAAGTAAACAAAGAGGGTCATGTGCAACCTATATAATTGGTCTCTAAAGAATATCAAGCTTCAGAAAGTTTCACTGACTTAAGCTGCAATAGGAATGTCATTTTTGCTGTACAGAAGTTGCCGGTGTGGAAATTACGGAAAAATAAATATGAACATAGAACGTTTATTAGGCATAAACTGAAGTTTCAGCCACCAAAAAAAATTTGTACTGAAAATGCCATAATGCCATTTTTGGCTGAACATATGGCAATATTTAAAATTAGATTTTTAGATAATCAGTTTTTTTTTTGCACATCGTAAGTGTCAAAAAAGCTATTCTGCTTGGAATAGAAATGCTTAAAAGTCTAAATGTATCACAGTTTCCACAGAACACTGATAAGAAATATTTCCTGAGCACCAAATCAGCATATTAGAATGATTTCTGAAGAATCATGTGACACTAAAGACTAGAGTAATGGCTGCTGAAAATTCAGCTTTGCCACCACAGGCATAAATTACATTTTTAAAAATACTCAAAAAGAAAACCGTAATTTTAAATTGTAATTATATTTCTCAATATTACTGTTTTACTGTATTTTTTTTATCAAATAAATGCAGCCTTGGTGCAGAGTCTTTTTTCAAAAACATTTTTAAACTTTCTGAACGGTAGTGTAGATGCCAATGTAATAATGACAACTCAAATAAAAAGAAACTGTATTGTAATGTTCAATTTTTAGTTATTAAATTTTAGTTATACAATTTTATTAGTCTATCACCATTGTTTATTCTAAATCCATTAAATGTGAGGGTGATCTGCATTCAATCTGATGAAAAACAGCATAATGTCACATGAGTATTGTACCTCATTCGCCGGTCCTGCAGCATTGGCAGGTTGCTGCTGGTTCTGCTCCAACCATAAAGGGGCTCCACCATGAACAATCTGCTCCCGCAGCCACACCAGACTGATGAAGGCGCAGAGGGTGCAGGTCACCACAAAGCAGCCCTGCAGGCAGTCGGCCAGCAAGTTCTCTCTGCAGAGCATGAACATTCACTGATCATCACTTCTGAAATACCCATCCATTACAATTCACCACGCAACCACGTCCACGGCTAAACCCGAGACCGCAGCGAGTATTGAAATAACCCATCATGCTCAGAGTTCACAATGAGCTGATCCGCAATGTAAATGAATATTTTAAGGAGAAAACTTGAGAGCTTTCCTGTCTTGTACGTACGTGGAGAGCATGTCTAAGGGCAGAGTCAGGAGGGAGCTTACAGATCCAGTGAACAGACACTTATAGATGCGACCTACAGGAAAAGGAGAACATTATATGAGCAACATCACATACAATGCACAACATAGGGATAAAGACAGTGTATTACTCACAGCGTACCAGACTGTGACCTCTGGGCATCACTTACATGCTGTTAGAGGTACAACCCCCAGCCAAGCGAAGGCAACAAGCGTGTAATGAAACCAGTATCGGATAGCCGTGCCTATACTTGTGACCAGTCCTGCGAAAATGTCCTGCACTGGGAGCCGTGAAGGCATGTCTGGAGAGTAAACTGAAAGGAAAAGAGATGAGGATTTGAATGCATTATATATTACAATTGTTGATAAACATTTTGGGTTCCACTGGAAGTGTATTATTCCGTACTGAAAATTGGGGATTATAAATTTTATTTAATTCCAATTTAAGATACTCATAATCCTTTGCAAACTATTTAAGTGAATTAATAAGATTATTAGGTTATTTTCAAATTTGTTTAATAAATATCTTGCTCTTTAATATAGATCATGACTCTGAAAAAGCATAACTCTGCAAACAGAAGTACAGAAGAGGCATCTCTAAAGCATCTCTTCCAAACGATGAGAATCAAGAGCTTGTGTGTACAAGAACACAGTGCCGTGCTTCACTCTAAAACACGCAGCAGCACATATAATAATTTAATTCAATCACATCCTTCATGATTTAACATTGTGATTTTGGTGCTATTTTGATTAATCGTGTCATTCTATGTTACGTAATACATTAAGTTCCCACAGAAAACTGGAAGCAATGCTTTCCATAGGGCTTGTGTTTAAATTCTTTCCAAAGCTGTTGAAGAGCAAAGACCAAAACCAAATTAAAACACTTTCATTGTAGCAAAGCCATGCAACGACTCACTCTGGGTGTAAAAAGCTTGTTTCACCTAAGCAAAGAGCAGCTACGTCAGACAACATGAGTGCCGTGCTTTTACATCACATGATCAGATCAACCCATAGAACCCTATCGCTCTGAAGCACACAATTGCTGCTTTTGAACTGGCCATTCAAGGCCGTTGTGAACTTGTGACTCTATACAACTATTCATGGCTTTACCTCCCCAGAAGAATGTAATGAGAGTGGGTTACTTACTTGGCGTGAAAGCAAATCTGTGCTTGCATAATTCACAGTACTCTTTTCTGCTGTGTTTAAGCCACTGCACCAAGCTGTGAAAACACAAGAGGGGGGCAGGAAGTGGGCGTGAGGAGGACGATCTGACTTGTGTGAAAAAGCACAGAAAATCCTGCTTCATTTCCCATTTCCACAAGGGAAGAATAACAAAAAGCTGGAACTCCATAGTTGGTTACCGTTACATTGAGGAGGACTCCTGAGCTCACAAGTTACAGCTTGTCAGTTAGTCAAATGGGTGTTGCTGACTCCATTCAGTAACCAAAAACAACAAAAAACGGAACACAAAGCCTAACAAAAATAACTGGCCCCAATAGAAAGGTTAACCCTAGATCTACTGACAGACAAATTAGCCGATTTAGGGTATTACAGAAATGTGCAACACAACTAAAATACTATTTTCTTTTTTATTTATCATCTACTTTTGCCAAAGCAATATACACTACTATTAAAAAGGTTGTGGTCAGTAACTTTTTTTTTTTAAGAATTTAATACTTTTATTCAGCAAGGATGCATTCAACTGATCAAAAGTAACAGTAAAGACGTTTATAATATTACAAGATTTCAAATAAATGCTGTTCTTTTCAACTTTCTGTTCATCAAAGTATCTTGAAAAAAAAAGTATCAGATTTTCCACATCTGTTTTCAACACTGATAATACGAAATGATCACCAATACAATGCAAAATATTTCTGAAGGATCATGCGACACTGAAGATTGGAATAATGGCTGCTAAAAAATTCAGATTTGCCATCTCTCGACTAAATTACAATTTAAAACTTTTTAAAATAGAAAAAAGTTTATTTAAATTATAATATTATTTCACAATATTACTGTTTTTACTGTGTTTCTGATTTTAAAAAATGCAGTATTGGTGAGCATAAATGACTTCTTTCAAAACCTTAAGAATGTTACCAAAACCAAACTTTTAACTTTTGAATGGTAGTGTATCAACAAGACTTTCACTAAATCATCTTAACTATGCTTAATGCCTGCACTTGTTGACTTGTAAGCTTACTAATGAACAGCAAGGCCTTTGTCAGATCAGATCATATTCTTGTTTGTCAAAGCTTGGAACCCCTTCTTACATTGCAAGTGGTATTCCATTTCACGCTGTCCCATTTTCTGCCATTACTGACTCATCTTGAGTAGGACACCTAGAATTACTACTGCAGGACAGCAGGTTAAGTGTAGTTAACTGCTCAAATTACATCCTCTGAATTTTATAGCAGGCACAATAAACTAATAATAAAGTGCCTTTAGGTATGAGCCAGCTGTCATCATTGACCGTTACTTCTAATGTCCCATTTCTAAGTTAAAAACAATGCACTCGTTGGAACACACAAATCTGACACGTTGGAAGGTACTTCACATTGTTCGACCCAAAACAGCATAAAAATAGTTATTGTACAGGGAATTCGTCACTGAATGAACAAAGCTCTTACCATTCTTGGTGGATGAATTTAATACTTCCAGTACACACGCAGGGATGGTAGAGGGGTTTGTCCTGAGTTCCCTCAGATCGACACACCCTACATATATCACCTGCCAGAAAATATGGGCAAAATAAACATTTAAAACCGATATATACAGAACACATTAAATTAAATGAGAATGAACGGGATATAAGTGCTGCAACAAACGCACTGTACCTACTAAAATATGAAAGGCTATGAGTTATGAAATTAGACTTAATTACATTTTGTGATTTTCAGTTTATACCGAAGAAGAAAAAAATTGTAGATGCATGCAAGATTATTGCTTGCAATCTTGCCAGTCAATCTCCTGGTCATCTTTGCCCTCTTGCTTTAACAACAGTATAAACCTAAACTAGATAATAATGAATAACATGAGAGACAACTATCACTCCTCCGGCACACACAAAGTTCAAAAATCAATGGGACACGTGATTTGACTTATCTACTACGTTTCATTTTTGTCATCAATATTTCAGGTGCGTTTACACCTGATACACAAAAATACACAAACTGACCATTCCACGTAAGTTATACATTTTATGATAATGGCTAATACTACTTTACATGATTAATGTGCTTTTAAAAATGTCCATTACGTCCTGTAAAGTCGAAATCAAGTTCAAATTCATATTAGTGTCTTTATTTTGACGTGCTTGGAGGATGACAGCTGTACTATAGACCAAGCTGGCAGGAAAACATTTAGCTCGTTAGCTTGCAAAGGCCACATCAGTTACAGATGCATATTTGGTTGCGCGCTCCGGCTAAATCATCATAATGTTAAACAAACGTCAAATGTTTAGTCAAAGCGCATTTAAAAATCAACAACAAGCAAACAGACAGCAGCCACAATGCCTCCGTGTCTAGACAGCTTACCTTCTTCGGCAGTGTCCATCTTGTACGGTGACGCACTGTCCTCTTTTACAGTCAACACATAACACACACCGCGGAACAAAACACACAATATCAGCTTACAACTACGCTAAAATACAACATGACGAAATCGATCCAAGCATGAACGCCGCATAACCCCAGACCTGACCCCTTTTTTTCGTGTAACGTTGGTGCTTACAGATAGCGCTGTTCGAGCTACTTGTTGGTCGACTATTTTACTGCTCTGCTGAACATGTTTGTGGCCTCTGGATCTGAAATGTGCTGCTACGGGTTCGGTTTACGGCAGCACAGCGCGCACGCGACACTTTCTGGCGTTTTCCGGTGGTGACTGCGCTAAATTGTAGATAAATTAATTTACATACGAACTACTACAGCTCGATATGCAGCTTGTTAGTATATTTTTTAAGATGCAATGCGAAATTATGCATTAAAGCAAATAAGGATTGCATTACAGATGCAATCCTTATTATTATTATTTTAATTAAAAAATACAATACGGATGCATCATGGTATTTACTATAACCAGTGCACAATGCCAGCGTAAAATACTAGAGGCAGTTTTTGTAGTTTGCATGTATGTTTAGGGGGTGAGGCATGGCATGGGACTTTGAATCTTGTTACACCTGGGCATGTGTAAACACACGTGCACACCTTTTTCTATTAGGGATATGGACTATTTATTGGCATCTCATGTTTTGTAGGTAACATTTTGTATGAGGGCATTTGGTCTCCACAATGCAAACAAGTTAATGTGGTGGTGTGTACGGCTCAAAGGTTTTGTGGTGAATGGGATTTTTTTATGTAATGGAAATTAGATGTGTTAACATGAATATGCATGCATCTTTTATCAATATGAGATATAATTTTTATAATAAATGTGACATAGTAATACTTAATTCAAGGAATAATGTTGGATTATTTACATGACATATATTCTTCCCTATGAGTACTAAAGATGTACTTTTACTAGGGGTGTAATGATTCAGATTGCTCACAGTTCGGCTCTATTCACGGTTTTAGGGTCACAGTTCGGTTCGGTATGTGCTATGTTCAGGGAAAAAAGGACTATGGTAAAATAAAAATAAAGAAAATAATATTAAATAATCAAACTAAATGCAACAGCACAAATAAATACAATAGAGCAAAGATACAAATAAAATAAACAGTAATTTTCAGGAACAGAAATTTAAAAGTAAACAAATGTAAAATAACTAAATTAAATTAAAAATTAAAGAATCCTTGTTGAAGTTACAAAAGCTATTTCAAGAGAAGTGAGTGATTTCTATGTCTTTTGTTGTTTAACATTAAAAACATAAGACAGCAGGAATAGACTGCTGTTCCTTTAAGACATGATTCACAGATCCAGTACACTGATACTGATACACATGCATCATCTTTCTCGACTGTTCACGTTCACTCAAGACATGACCAGCAATGTTTGCAAGGAGACTCACAAAGACGGGCATGTTGACATATTTTTTTGTGTTAGTTTGTCAGTTCAAATGCAAGTCTTGAAAGTGAAATCAGCATTGGTGTGACACGGGCGGGGGCGGACCGAGGTACGTACCAAGAGTACCCTGATGCATATCATGGGTGGTTTATCGCGGTTTTTCGGTTCGGTTTGAATATCTTTACACCCCTAACTTTTACTTAATTAAAATAAATAAATAAAAGAAGCTTTAAAGAAGAACATAAAATATACTTATCAGAATATGATCACTCCACACCTCTGAGAAAATACATAAAATTGTTTTCTTTATCATATAATATAAATGCAGAAAAAACAAACTGATTCTTATTTTCTTTACTAAAACAAAGGGATATTTAATTAGGAACAATATGCAGCCAAAATAGGTTGCATTTTTCAAGCTTACATGAGAGACAAAATGTTTGTCAATATTGTAAAGAAAGAAATGCCTCTCTAAAGAAATTAGTTTTCCTAGTTTGTCGCTAGTTCTTGTCTTTCACTGTCTTTATCATTTTTGATGGGAGGTTTGAATGTCTTGGCATTATAAACCCAAACAGTATCAATTCCCTCTCCAGCGACATCATCAGGAGTCCAAGTGGGAAATGGAAAGCGACAAGCTACTACTTTGGCTGAACTCTGGAGCTCTCTTTGGAGCTTGACTTCAAGCTGCTCCATCTGTGGAGAAAACAACCTTAATGTTAATGTAAAATATTGAATGTATGTGTATATATATATATATATATATATATATAATTATATGTAATTAGTCATACGATCATACCATTTGAGGAACCCCAAAGATGACTACGTTGGAGTACTCTGAAAAACTGACCTATGAAAGAAGACAGTTTAAGAGACTAATAACACTTCTAACACATGTGCCATGATTACATGCAGATTGTATCGATCTGTAAATACTTAGTTACAAATATAATGGAAGATCCACATTTAGATTATGATTGAACTGTCTGTTCTCACCTCCCAAAGGTCAGAAATATAAAAAGATGTGTTGTGATGAACACCTTCCCTCCAGGCTTTGTAATGGGAGTACCAGACCAGCCATGGGTTCAGCTCAAATCCTACTGCCTTGAAGCCACTTTTTGCTGCCGCGATAACCTAGACCAAACCAGACACACAGAGGAACAAGATTTTTAGGACTGTTAACAGATTAACAAACTGTGATTGACTAACATCAATAACATTATACAGTTGTATTGTAATACTGATATATACCACTGTATTTTATGATTTTTTTGTTCATATACTATATTTACACGGCACTGTTTGTTCCAAATCAAATCAACAGGGGAGGCTTTAAAAAGGAACATCAAATATTCTTATGAAGATATAATGACTTCGCATCTCTGAGAAAATGTATAAAATCCTTTTCTTTGTCATATATTAAAAACGCAAATACATACATACATAAATTCTTAATTTCTTTACTAAAACAAATGGATATAAAAGTCCAAAGAAACTCACTATTCGTCCATCTCCGCTGCCGATATCCACCAGAGACCCTGATCTAGTTTTCAAAACCTTAAGAACGTTTTCAATCTGTGTCCTTGTTGCAGGTACAAATGGGAGACAAACTTTCCTCAGTGCTGGTGCAACAAACGGTCCAGTCACTGCATACAGAGCGACCAATGACCCTCCGACGACACAAGTTGCAATAATACCGAGTCGTTTTTTAAAAGCACTTTCACCAGCTGATCCCTGCTTATATGTCTCTGTGGAGGGATTTGATTCTGTGCCAAAGTCAGACATCCTGAAATGAAAGCATCGGGACTCATCAGCTGACCTCCTCCTCACTGTCTGACAGCCCAGTGACAGCACGCAGCTTTTCACAAATTTGCAATTAAAATCGGTCAGATGTGCACGTAATGAGCAAAACATTTAAATAAATTAACGGCATAATCATATCAACATACAGACAATTACACTGTCTATATATGCTATATATATATTATAAACAACCACAGAACTTTTCACGAGACTAAATAATACATGAGAATCGGTGCATCTCCTTATTTGTCCGACGACAGACTGAAGCAACATCAGTTCCGCTCTCTGACTGTCACTTACTACAGACGGACATTCAAATATTATTAATTCATGAGATAATAAAAATGACTTGAAGAAACCTAACGAATTGTGGGTTCAAGATTTATAGCCCGTTCATTAACAGTACTTTTATACTGTTATTTTTAAATAGTGATGAAAGTTTATCTCCTGCAATTACTTTGATATACCAGAGGGAGGCACTATTATGCGGATGTACTCACAAACCCCAATGTGTGCGCTCATTACGCATCTCTGGCTGGCTGCTGCTGTTTTTCAACTTAAAATGACAATTGTAATGAAAACAGTACTTTTATATTATTTAAATATTATTATGACGAGGCTGGCAATATTAGAAGTATTCGCATGCCTACAACCACTTAAAAATTTTACCAATAAGCAAGGAAAGAGAATGCATCCAATGGAAAGGCACTTTTTAAAGACCATTTTTGTTCTACATCACAGTTTATAATAAAAATGCAGTAAGATGAGACACAGTATAACAATCGTACTTGTTTGTAATTTTAGCAGTAATGTGATATGAGAATGAAAAGTGGAGCATGAAGGGTAACAAAGTATAAAAGAAGTATAAATGTTCTCACATAGGCATAAAAGCAATGAAAATACAAATAAATTAAGTCACAATTAAAACACAATTAAATTAAACCACACAGCTCAAGGTAAGAGCGAAGCCTGTCCCACATCACAAGACACAAAGATGAAAATAGCCATAGCAGTAATGATATGAAATGTTTTACATAATACCCACACCAAACAGCACAAATAAAAATATTTACATTAAACATATGCAATGATTGAGTGTCCTAATATCATACAGCATCTCAAGATTAGGATTAAAACAAAAGTGCATAACAGTCATCAAATTATATGGACTAGACAGCCTAGGACTAGTCATATACAAAACAGGAAAAGAAAACTAACAACAATACAGTTTTTTGGTTCACATATCCATTTAATGCACCCATGTTTTTTGATCCATAATCCTTTATGGATACAAAATGGTGAAAATGGAGTGACTAGACAAGGAAATCTTGTCTGTCAACAAACTTAATAAACAAGTGCATGACTACTACAAATAAAAAGGAAGACAAATAGGACAATAAAGAAACAGTCTATCCAAAAGCTGGGTTGACGTGCATGGAAAACCATCAAAAGTCATTGGATACTGACCGATGCACAGTTCTGTCCATTGCAGCTCGCCCACGGCTGGTGGTGGGCCCATCATAAAGTTCATCATCCAGGTCACACTCTTCAGCCCCATCGTGCGAGTAGCTGTGCTTCATCACTAGAATATTCCTGCGGCTAGTAGGGGTGGCTTGCATAGGGAAGGGGGGTTGTACAGATAGCTCCATCTCTGAGAGAATAGCTGCAGCATCTCGCAGGCTGAGATCGCTGCAGCTGCCTCGAGTGCTGGACACCTGGGAGCCACAGTGGTGGCCGTGGATGCATTTGGAGGAGGTGCGCTGCAGTTTGGGGAAGTCTTCAGGTAAAACCTCACCATCGGATGAGGTTGCTTGCCGTAACGTGCACAGCTCATAGTGTGGGGGTTCAAAGGCCTCGTGCAGCAAGGTGGGATCAAATTCATCTCTGCGGATTATGTACTTCTTCCGTGGCTGTTTTATTTGAATGATTATCGACACAGTGAGCAGGATAATCACCAATCCGCAGGTCACGCCAATAATGGTCACATTAGTGTTGTCGAGACCGTCGAGGATATTGGATTTTCTTTTCTCTGTATGAAAGGAGCATAAATATTGTATGAGGCACATTGTTTTAAATTTAGAAAATAAAATAAAAAACTATATTTACTACAGTAAAAATGTTTTGGGTTGGTAAGTTTT